GACCCAAGCCCCAGAGCAGCAAGGCCGGGGCCATGGCTAACGTTTGGGCATTGCTTAGGTTTTTTGCGGTGCACGGACCTCGCTGCGTGTGCACTGACCTCGCTGGTGTCTGCCTGGCCTCCCTGCGTGTGCACAGACCTCGCTGCGTGTACGCTGACCTCGCTGCGTGTGCGCTGACCTCGCTGCGTGTGCGCAGACCTCGCTGTGTATGCATTGACCCTCGTTGCGTGTGCGCAGACCTTGCTGTGTGTGCATTGACCTCGCTGTGTGTGCATTGACCTCCCTGCGTGTGCGCAGACCTCGCTGCGTGTGTGCAGACCTTGCTAAATGTGCACTGATCTCACTGGTGTCTGCTTGACCTTGCTGTGTGTGCGCTGACCTCGCTGTGTGTGCACTGATCTCACTGGTGTCTGCCTGACCTCGCTGCGTGTGTGCACTGACCTCGCTGGTGTCTGCCTGACCTCCCTGCATGTGCACAGACCTCGCTGTGTGTGCGCAGGCCTTGCTGTGTGTGCACTGATCTCGCTGGTGTCTGCCTGATCGCTCCTGCAGGCCCACTGTCCTGCCATGGAAACCCTCCGCCCGCAGCACCCACCCCCGGACACTTCCTAGGTGACCCGCCTCTGCTGTTTGGCCGGTTCTAACTTGTGCTGTTACCACTTTGAACGCTGTTATATGAGGGACTCTTTCTCTAGCAGGGGTGCTTCCTTGGAAAAGGTCCTGGGCCCTAACCGGTTTGGCTCAGTGGATAGAGCATCGGCCTGCGGACTCAAGGGTCCTGGGTTCGATTCTGGTCAAGGGCATGTACCTTGGTTGTGGGCACATCCCCGGTGGGGAGTGTGCAGGAGGCAGCTGATCGATGTTTCTCTCTCATCGATGTTTCTAACTCTCTATCCCTCTCCCTTCCTCTCTGTAAAAAATCAATAAAATATATATTTAAAAAAAAAAAAAAAGAAAAGGTCCTGGGAACTGGGAAACCCGAGCACAGCTGTGGACATTCTTGGGGTTCTCCATCCCATGACCAAGCTGCTGCCGGACACGCTGTGCGGGGGAAGCCTGGCAGCATCTGGTTTATGATCGTTGCAAATGAAACAGCAGCACAAACCCTGCTAAGTCGGTAGGGGAACTGTTTTAACTTCGATGCTCTGACAGAAGGATTAAACCCTTGTGTTGGCTACTAAGTAAAGAGTAGCCTGCAGTGTCTCTCTTGTGAATATCTGTTCATGAGGTTTCTCGGCCCATGGCTACAGACCAATCCCCCGCCTCCATTCACTCTCCGGGGCTCAGGCCCCGAGGAAACGCCGACTGCCCCCCGCTGGCTGCCGGAGCCCTCCAGGTCCCGAGGAGCGAGCTGGGGCGGCCGGGACGGGCCTGTCCTACCTTCCTGATCTGCTCCAGCTTGTCGTCATCCTCCAGGAAGAAGGTCAGGTACATGAAGGACACGTCCACGTCGCAGTTGCCCCCAAACTGCCTGTGCTCCTCGATGGTGTCTCTCCCTCCAGAAAACGCGTGCTTGTTGACCTGCGCCAGCAAGAGACACACAACGCTGGGGGTGCTGGCGCCCTGCGGGAGCCCAAGGGCTGGAAGTGCAGCCAGTGACGGCTTCTGCCCTTCAGATCCTGCCCAGAGGGAGGAGCCCCACCAAGCGGACTCAGTGGGCCCACTGCAGGGAAGGGGCAGAGGTGGGCTCGCCTGCACTCCCCGCTCCCCATGGACAAGAACAGAGTCAGGAGAGCTGGAACTGGGGGCAAATATCCTAAAGTTCTCAGGTGATGGGCTTCAGAAAGAAGACAAACACAAACCCTCTTCAGACTAACAGACGACCAGGGAGGGGCGGCCGCTGCCCGGGGCGGGCGGTGCTGTCACTGGTGAACAGGACAGAGCCCCACTATGAGAGAGGACGGGAGGGAGGCAGAGATGAGGGCTCAGGCGGGAAAGCTGACCCTGGACAGTACGTAGGTGGAGGACCTGCAGGAAGGACTCACCTAACCCTGGCACTTTCAGGAGCAGACGACAGACTCACAAGCTAACAAATGCGTTTCAGGACTCACTGAGGACAATCTTAGAGAAATCAGGGCCACGGGTGGGAGAAGAAAAGCTGAAACGGACAGACAAAGTTCCTCCGTGTTCTTTCAACGAGGATTTGAGAAGCAGCTACAGACAGAAGGGGAGTGGGGTGGGTGGAGTCGGTAAACTCCAAGTGGAGGTGTTCAGGAGGCCTCCCCGGAGGCCCCAGTACAGGCCACTACTGGATGCTCTGGGACCGTCCAGAAGCTCAGAGGAAGGCCGGGCACAGGGAGGCAAGTGAAACCCATCCTCTCCAGGAGAAAGCAGCCACTGCTGAGCAGGAGCTGTATGCCCACGAGCTGTATCTGCTCGGGAAGGAGGAGGCTGGGAAGCTGCCGATGCTCAGCAGGCCCCGCACAGAGGGCAGCGGGGAGAGGCGGGGCTGGTGGGCTGGCCACCTTCACTCCCTTGACAAAAAGGAGCAAGTCAGGAAATAAAATCAATGTACTCAAACGCAGAAATCGGAAAATACAAAATAAACAGGAAGAGAAAACCACCACGTATTGGGCTCTCCTGAGATCCACACGCCCTCAGGCAGGTGCACTGCCTGCTGGAGCCTCTGGTCTTGTGGAGGCCCCTGTGCGTGCGGGCATCTTCCCAGGCACAGACTCTTCCTGGGACACCAGGTTGCCGAGTGGCTTACGTGGTCCTGGTGTTGGACCTGGCTCGTCCTCAGTGATGCTGGGCCTGGCTTTCAGGGAACCAACAGGAAGACGGGTTTGGGCCATGGTGGAGCCAGTCGGTGGGGACTGGAAGGCCACCTCCAGGATCCAAAACGATGGAAGCCAGTGAGATGCACCAAAACGATTCCATGTAACAAAACTGCAACAGGAAGGCTGTCTGGGCTGAGGGCGGGACTTGATCCAACCACCACAAGAACCAGCGAGTTCCCGCTGCTCCAACCTAAGGGGAAGGTCAAGTTGGCCGCAGAAGCCCGGAGACCAGGGCGGGGACGGGCCACTGGTCTGACAGGATCCACATGACAGCCCACAGGAGGCACACTGTGGCCCACCCTACAGAGGAGCTGCTCAACTATTCACTTTCTGAGCCAAAAGCTAAAATTTGGGCAGTGCTTGACAGTTCATAAACGCTTTTTATATGGGATCTCATGTAAGCCCTGCCTGTCTGTGAAGGGGACAACTGCCCCACGTCACAAATGACAACTGGACAGCCAAGGTCACTCTCCAACAGCAGGAAGAGGCAGGGCCAGACAGTGGTGGACCTGGGTTCTAGTCCTGGCCCTCTGCTTCCCAACAGGGTGGATGCAGGGCAGCTGCCCAACCCTCTGAGCCTGGATTTCTTCGCCTACAGAACGCACACAGCCTCCTGGTGGATGCGAGAGCTCCATGAGATCACACAGGTCAGTGCGTGGCAGGTGACCAGGCAGCCACACCCCTGCAGCCACACACGGCTACTGCTGCGATTCTTGAGTGGGGCAGGTGCCCTCTCGGCCGATGAGTCTGATCTGGAGTTGAAGATGGGCATGGAGACTGAGCACAAAGGCCGGGCCTGCCCGTCACAGCGGCGTGACCTGCATGACCCTGGTGGCTCCTGACCTCACACTCACTGCTCACCTCCCTCTGGGTCTTTGCAGGTCTCTAGGTGAATGAAAAATGCCCCAGAGCCAAAAGTCACTGACTTCAAACAACACCTCAAAAACAATACAAAATGCCACTGCTGGAGGGAACAGGAGTCTCTCCCCGCCCCCCACCCCCCCCCCCACACGCCTGCTCTGGAAGTTTCCGCCAGAAGCGAAAGGGAAAGAAACAGCTGTTCATAGTATCAAGGGTTTCCCTGCTGTCCACCAGGAACTGCCTGGGACTTTCCAGAAGGGTCAGGGGCCAGGCAGTGACTCAGACAGTTGCATTATGTGCTTCAAATACAGTTTCTGTCCCTCCCACTGTCAACTTCCAACCCGCAGACCCACACTTGGTTCCCAATAAAACGTCAACAGCTTTGTAGGGCGGGGAGGGGACTGTCACATCTACAGGTCAGCACCCAGCAACAGAAACAAGGCCTGAAAACACGGAAGCTCAACCAACTCCTAGTTCACGTTTCCCTGGTGACTCGAGAGCCCGCTGCCTGCCGGGCAGGGCAGGGCTGTTCCATGAAGGGCATCTACCCATTCTGGGGCCCAGGGAGAGCTCTGGGAGGAAAGAGCCCCCAAGCCCACGCTGGTGGTGCTGCTCCTGGCCAGGGGCACTCTGCTGGTTTCCAGTGGAAACTTGGCCGAGTTGTCACCACTCTGGGCCTCATCCTTCTCACCTTTAAAGGAACACACCGCTCACCCAGCGAGAAGTAGAACAAGGAAGCACGAACAGAGTGCCTGGCCTGGCCCCGGAATACAGCGCGTGCTCAGAAACAGACTTTTGTCTACTGCCTGTGTGACTTCAAAGAAAACGGCATGACTGTGCTACCAGAACACAGTGCTGATGAGAAAAGGGAAAAAAATGTAAAGTTTTGCCTTAGTGAAAGGACACAAAGTAAATTCCCCTGATATCTGGGAACAGGGACAGGAGGCCTCAAGTCAGCAGGGGGCCAGTTTTCAGCGGCCCTGGGGCAGCGGAGACGGAAACGACAGCGCGCTGGTGCAGGGGCGCGCGTGCCTGAGCATGTGGTTCTGCGGGCACAGGCGGTCCCTCGCCCAGCGCAGTGCTCACCTTGGTCTTGATCTGCTTGGCAGTGTCTGTGAGGAAGATGGAGGAGTTGGGGTCGCTGGCACTCATTTTGGTCTGGGCCCCCTGCAGGGCGGGGAAGAAGGTCGAGTGCAGCAGGGCTGGTTTAGGATAGCCGATCCTGGGGGCGACGTCTCTCGTCATCCTGAAGTAAGGGTCCTAGGGGAGAGAGGGGCCTTTTGAGGATGGCTGGAAGCAACACGCCAGCTTTTAGCCCATCAGCGTCACCTGACAGCCTTCACAGCAACCCCAGCCAGTTCACAGAACCGATCCCCCAGCCCCCCACCCAAGCCGCCTTTCCCACAGGTGAGTGCCCGGAGCCTCCCGCACAGCCCAGACCTGACACCCCGCTGCCTCCTGACCTGGTCGATGGCACAGGGGATGAGGCACTGGACGTCCGTCTTGTCCCCGAAGATCTGCGGGAACGAGTTGCTGAAGGAGGGAGCAGCCTGGATGGCAGGAAAGCTGATCTTCCCTGGGAGCGAGGACAGAGAACCTTTACACATGGGCAGCTCCTGTCTGGTTGGTTACCCGGGGAAAGGGAGGCGCAAAAACAGGCTTTCTCCTCATTAGACAAGTAATCAGCATTACAGAAAAGCAGAAAACTCCAGAGAAGTAGAAGAAAAAAAATCCACCAACTCAATTTGTGTCTCTTTTCATTGGTTTTCTCTATTTCTACTTATTTCAGTTGTGATTATACTATTTTTTCCCCTTTGCCCTTTTCACTCTGTAGTGTTTACCCAGGTTGTTGTTAAATATGTTCTACTCTATAAACGAATCGTCTACATTTAACCATTCTCTGCCCACTGGGCATTCGGATCGTTCCTCATCGTTTAATTATTACAAATTATACTCTCTTGATACAGAACAGTTTTCAATGTTTTGTTAACAATGCTCCTGTGATCTGCTGAGACCTGCAGAGGGGGGACTTCTGGGACTAAGGGTATGGACCTCGCGATCACACTTGACAAGAGGCGCCCAGCTGCGGGTCCTCAGGTGCTCTCAGGTGCACACAGTACGCGGACACAGGAACTCCCAAGCTGTCTGTACCCTTCCTACTTTCTTCTAAGCCTTACATGGATGGCTGGGGAGAGGGGCGGACTGGGTACAGCTCCACATGCCCAGGACAGTGGCCTAGGGCATCACATTGCCTCCTTATGTTCTGAGGAAACCCCCTCTGGTTTACTATTTAAAGAGACAAAGTGCAGAAGCCACCATCTCAGCGACAGCTCAGCTCTGGGCCACTGCTCCCTTCTGATGGGCTGGGGCCAGGCGCAGGCAGCAGCGGCTCCTTACCAATGCAGTCACTGTCCGTGAAGCCAAAAATGCCTTTCACTTGGTTGAAGGTCACGTGCTTCTGAATCTTCACCACGTTCCTGTAGAAGCCTGGGCTCATCCTGCAAACACCATCAGAATCAGACACAGGTCTGAGCCTCCTGCCCGCTGAGCCCCCTTCCTGCTCCTCACAGCACTTATCATCACCTGGTCTACTACTGATGAACTGCCCGACTCTGCTGGTTGGAAGGTAACCTGACGGAGTGGTTGCTTCACTGTGTTATTGGCCGCTGTATCCCAGCAGCAGTCTGGCATGTAGTAGATGCTCAATAAATACCTGCTGAATAAATGAGCGGAGCGAGCAGGCGAGAGGGGTTAGCTCACTGCCCACGTCACACAGTAACTACTAGAGGACTTGCTTCTGACGCTCTAACATCACGCTCACTGGGGCAGGGACTTTGTTTTGCCCACTGCCGTGTTTTCGGGGCCTCGGGGGTGCCTGCCACTGAGAGCACACGATGACTGCTTCATCGACCTCCTGGGAGAGGGCCACCCCTCACAGTGCACCTTAGATTAGAGGTGGCCGAGGAGGAGCTTGGGTGCTGGAAGCAGAACAGGTGCTAGATCTGCCTGCCAGGGACGGCTCCCAGGACAAGGCGATGCTTGATCACGGGTTTGGAAGAAAGTGGAGGAATGCTGAGCTGGGAGGGGAGGGGACTCTGGGCAGACAAGAACATGGACAAATGGGAGGAAATGGAGCTGTTCCATCTGGAGGGAGGTGGCAGCAGCACCAGACAGGAACGGGCCCAGTCACAGAGGGGCTGCGTGCTCAGAGGGAAGTGAGAACTTGATCTTGAGGACGAGGGAGTGCCGGGAAAAGCCTGAGCGGGGGACCTGACCAGACCTGTGATCTAGAGAGTGCAGGCTGGAGGGGACCAGAGGTCCTGAGGGGCCATAGCAGGGGCCGAGGGAAGAGACTGCAGAACTCATGGGAGTGAGTTCTAAGGAATGGGAGAAATAAAGTGAAGTGCTATGGAAATGGTAATAACAGTGACATCTAAGGTCACATGTAATCCTATTTCACGCACCAGAAGTGTCTCACGACCATTAACAGACGTGGCCAGACTCAAACCTAGGCCCGCCTTCCTTCCAAGACCATGTTTCTCCCAGGACACCGCAGTGCCTCTAGACCAGGGGTGGGCAAACTTTTTGACTCGAGGGCCACAATGGGTTCTTAAACTGGACCGGAGGGCCGGAACAAAAGCATGGATGGAGTGTTTGTGTGAACTAATATAAATTCAAAGTAAACATCATTACATAAAAGGGTACAGTCTATTTTTTTTTTTTTAGTTTTATTCATTTCAAACGGGCCGGATCCGGCCGCGGGCTGTAATTTGCCCACGGCTGCTCTAGGGCCACAAGAAAAGTGATTTTAAAAAAATCTAATAATTTTCTAACATTTTCTTGGTAGTCATTTGGGATGAAGTTCAAGACCTCAGAGTTTTAATTTAAGGATTTTTGGAATGAAATATTTGAGTTTTTAAGCAGTTGATTTAAAAACCTAGACTGGCCCAGCTGTCCTGGCTCAGTGGTTGAGCATCAACTTATGAACCAGGAGATCACAGTTCAATTCCCGGTCAGGGCACATGCCTGGGTTTTGGTCTTGATCCCAGTAGGGGGCATGTAGGAGGCAGCAGATCAATGATTCTCTCGCATCATTAATGTTTCTATCTCTCTCTCCCTCTTCCCTCCTCTCTCTGAAATAAATTTTAAAAAATGAAATAAATGAAAGACAGATTAAAATCCTAGGCTGGGAGGGAATGTGTAACCAGGGAGCCTTTTCTCTGTGAGGAGAGACAAAGACCCTAACTTGGTGAGACAGATCATCCTTGGAGAGCGACTACAACGCAAAGTACTTCTGTCAGCAGCTGAGGACGAAAATCGCAGCCACTACCCCAGGTCACAACACTCACTAAAAGCAGAAAAACAGCCACTGGGCCTGAGACCACCCGAGATGTTTCAGACTGAGCCGTCCTGAGGACCTGATGTCCACCTCTGCTCATCCAAAAGGCAGCCATGCGCTCCCTCCGTACCCCATGTAGTCGAGGTCAGAGAAGATGAAGGTCTTGTTGATGTCAAAGCCGCAGGCGATGATGTCCTTGGCATTTTCCACGGCGTAGCCATGGGCCTGGTCCAGGGTCAGGTCCTTCCACAGGTACTTCTCGTCGTCCGTCATCTGGATGACCAAGGGCACGTTGAACACGTCCTGCAGCCACCTAAGAGACACGGGGAGAGGCTGACATCTCGTTTCCCCTGAAGAAAAACGCCCTTTGGCATCTGAAAACACAGTTCCAACGAACAACTTGCATCAAGGCCTCCTTGTCTGCAAAATTACATGATCTTAGCATGCTGTTTATCTGATTATCGGTAACGATAAGGGCATTGCCAGTTACTAACTCAGAGCGCCCTGCACATCAGCTCTAGGCTCGCTGTTTTACATGCCTTATTTGTAGCCTTACAGTGATTTGACGAGGCAGGTGTTACTATTTCCATCTCGCAGAGGTGGAACCTAAGGCTCAGGGCCGTCACTGGCCTATGGTCCCATGGGTAGGGAAGAGAAGATGTGGCACCGGTGTGAGCGTCTCCGTCACCCATGTCCCTCTAAAGTGACACCAGGAACGAACCGAGTGAATGGAGGCCACAGAGGCGCCACGTCCCTGACACTGTGGCTGTTCAGCAAACGTGGACTGGTCCTGTCCTGTCGTTTCTAGACACAGCTTATACCCCCCGCTCCTGACTTGCTAATAACAGCGAGGAGAGTCACAGAGCCAGGACTCACTTTGTGAAGATGAACGGGATGAGGTGGCCGACGTGCATGGCTTCGGAAGAGGGGCCCCTGCCCGTGTACAGGTAAAACGGCTTCTTGTTCTCATAGGCATCGAGGACTTGGTTCATGTCCCTGAAGGAAAGAGGAGAGAGGGAACTGATTTTTCTGGGGAAAAAGTCGAGGTGCTAATGCTCACTTGGCAACGTTCAGACAAACACAGGAAAGAACTAGTTTGCTGTTCTTGGTGTGTCTGTAATGGTTCTACTGACATGGTTTCTCCGGTGCTTGTTTTCAGAGCAGAAGACATGGGAGCTCGGGATAATGTGTTTAAGAGATGGACGCAGTTGGGCAGCCACTGGAACTCTCTCGGAATTTTTCCAAATATCAACACTGATACACCACCTGCTTTGTACACTGCCTGGGTGACACCAGGCCAACACTGCGCAGTAACTGTTTAGAATCACCCAGCCCTGTGGCTCCGGAGAGCCAGCCTGGGGACATGAGAGGGTTCCACAGAGCCCTGCCTTAGGGAGGGAACTGGGAAATGCGCCCGGCTCCCTCAGCCAGGTGGGACCAGGTGTCTTCATCTGGGAGTCATTCTGGAATCAACCGCCCTCCCCAGGACTGGGCTCCACCAAGGCACACGAGGGTCCTCCTTCCTGACTTTGCCTCAGTAGCACGTGGCTGCTGTTTCCACGTTGCACCTGCCCAGGCCCCGCCTTCAGAGATGCTGATTCTCAGGGCGGCTGTGACATCTGGCATCTGTATTTATAAAAGGCTCTCCCGGTGACTGCCATGTGTGGCAGGTGTGAAACCACCACTCTGGGGTGTGACTGTCCCTTGTTTCTGGGCCAAGTTTCCCAAAGTAACAGGGGAACAGTCACCTTTTCCGGAGGTCTGGTGGCCTGCAAATGGGACTCCACCCTGTGCCAGGGTGGCTGCTCAGCTTGGCTGACAGGACCACGAGCATTCTGCTTTTCTGTGCTTCGTTTTTATTCCCCCCACCCCCCGGAATGAACACACCACCTCTGAAATAAGGAAATAGTAAAACACAATTTTGGAGGGAGTCCTTCTTTGGCTTTCACAACTAACCAATCAAATTGTTGGGCTTCTAGAGAAGAGCAGGCAGTGGCCACCTGAGCGGACTGGCCACCTTTGTGGGGCATCTCTGAGCACTCGCTGTGCAGTAGGTCTGGGCGGGGTGCCTCAGGGACTGGCTGGAGTAGATGAGGCTCCCGTTTCTGGAAGCTTTGTGAGGATGGTTGGAGTAGGGGCAGGGCGCCCAGGCAGCACCTATGGTCTGTTTGCAGGTGGACACTGGGTGCTATATCTCATCGAATCCCCTATTTTATAGATGATAAAAAATTAGATAGGGGGTGTTCTTAAATTTGAGAATGGCCAAAATCTTAAAGTCCTACACCTCCATCAACTAACACAAGCTACAGTGCAGATGGGCCTTGAAAACACGCTCCCTGAAATAGCCAGGCACACACAGCCTCACGTTGTGTGTTTCTATTTAAATACATATTTTTATTGATTTCAGAGAGGGAGAGAGAGATAGAAACATCAATGATGAGAGAGAATCATTGATCAGCTGCCTCCTGCAGGCCTCACACTGGGGATCAAACCCGCAACCTGGGCATGTGCCTTGTTCAGGAATTAAACTATGACTTCCTGGTTCATAGGTCGACACTGAACTACTGAGCAACACCGGCTGGGCGTGTGATTCTATTTATACGAAATGTGCAGGACAGGTAAGTACAGGAGATTCACGTTTGCCAGTGGTGGTGGGGGAGAGGGAGGAATGGGGACTGACTGCTAATGGGTAGGGGTTTTTTTGGGGTGAAGACAATGTTCTGGAATTAGATAGTGGCGATGGTTGCACAACCTTGTGAATAGACTGAAAACCACTGAATTGTATACTTGGGAAGGGTGAACTAAATCTCATTTAGGAAAGAGCTTTGATTACATTCTGCCCGTGAGGAAGGCAAACGAGGCCTGGATTTCTCTGCCACAGAATCTGAAGTGTGGGGCAGACTGCCGACCTGTGACCTGTGTGTGCTCCTGCAGCCGCGAGTGGGAGAGAGCAGAACGCCCTACCTTGGACCATAAATTCCATGAACACAGCCTCGAAGATGGGCTGGCCCGAACCCAAGGTGATCTGTCAGGTGGGAGAAGTAGAAACCCCCTGGAAGCTGCTCATTTTCTGTTGTCTGCGTGGCACTTACGGTCTAAAGTGGGGGTATCTGGTTGCAGATACGCTCTATTAGTTTCTCTTTTGATATTATTTATGAGCAGGCCCGCACAACAGAAGGAAGAGAGGACGTAATTTCAGGAAGCCTTCTGCTTATCCTGTAGGAAACACTGAACTTGGACACAATCTGGCACGAATCTCATCCTCTATGAATGTAACCTCCACCTTGTGAAGTGGACAGTTTTTTTTTTTTTAATCCTCACCTAAGGATATTTTCCATTGATTTTTAGAGAGAGTGGAAGGAAGAGGGGGAGACAGAGAGGAACATTGATGTGAGAAAGACACATCGATTGGTTGCCTCCTGCACGTGCCTCAATCAGGGGTGGGGATCGAGCCTGCAACCAAGGTACATGCCCTTGACCAGAATCAAACCAGGGATCCTTCAGTCCGAGGGCTGACACTCTGTCCACTGAGCCAAACCAGCTAGGGGCGTGAAATGGACAGTTTATTGATGAATAAACTAAGGGCCAGAGGGTGAAGGGACATGTTACTGACAGGGAGAGGTGGGTCCGAGTCTCTGACAATTGCCTTCCATTTTCACAGAGTATCAGGCAGCCTGAGGTAATAGCCCCAATCACTTAGAAAAAAAAATATATATATATACACACACACACACACACACACACACACTTATTTAAAAATTGATTTCAGAGAAGAAGGGTGAGGGAGAGAGAGATGGAAACATCAATGATGAGAGAGAATCATTGATTGGCTGCCTCCTGCATGCCCCCACAGGGGATAGAACCCACAACCCCGGCATGTGCCCTGACCAGGAATTGAACCGGGACCTCCTGGTTCATAGATCAATGTTCAACTACTGAGCCGCACCGGCTGGGGCCCATCCCTCTTTGAATTCGAGAGGAAGGGTGAGAA